TCCTGAGCGTTTCAGTGTGGGTGAGTCACACACCGCAAAGTCCGGTCATTCCCATTCCCAAATTCTTAAATGCCCACCTCTAGCACCGCCAACTTTCAGCATTTGTAACCCCTCGCCAGGATCCTTTGTCCTGTTTGTCGGCGCTGTCATGTGTGACGCGTGGTTAAAAATTTGATATCCTTGAACGCCTAGGGAAAAACAATACCCAATATTATCAATGTTTCTCTGGCGGCACACATCGTAGGGAATCTAGAATAAAAAGTAATTCGAGCGTAATGCCAAAGAGGCGAACTTGAAGGACGACAAGCAAGTCAATTGAGAGCCGCCCAAAAATCAATGACTTGTGTGGGTCAGGGAAAGATATATGTACATACACACTATCTAGTATACATGTATGCCGGTGGGGGGTTGGGGAGCAAAAACTTTACTCTCGACTATGTAATATAATTTGAGCTCCAAACTTGGACAGAGAGAGCTCTCAGCCAGAACTGATTGGAAATCATAAGTGAAAGGCCGGACTGCAGAACTTGATTTAAAGACTCTGGCCAAAGGTTCTTGGGATTCTTTCCAGACCATCGCCTTCTCCCCCGAAATTGTTCTCAAATTGATTTAAGGGGTGGCGGGGATAACTCGCAATTTCTATCTAATTTCACAACTTGCAAAGTCGCATAAACTTTTATTCCCTCTTTGGTTGCATGTGGCCATTGTTATGGGGCACGGTGCTCGGTGCACGGAGAACCACGCTCAATTTGAACGATTTATATGCGTGGCGCGTTGCAAGCGAAACAGACATACTTGGAGTGGGCTAATACACTGAGAAAACACACTCAGCCTTAAACAACAAACTGAATGTAAGCCGATTTATATTATAATATAGGGAGGTTTGATATGTTACTAAGAATACTAGATTAAGATTAGTTTCACAACATAAAAAGTCTGCTCTCTTCAATACTTCAATGAAAAATTATGTATTCACAATTATATCCAATTACATTGCATTTTTCGATAACGCACTTGATATTTCTCCAAGTGTAAAACCGGGCAAGCGAAATGGCAATCCAAATGACCAAAGTGCAGTGGAAATGGGGATAATGCAGCCAGGTGAACACACAATCACACACACAAACGGGTAGGCAGTGGGATCGCCTCAATAAATAATATTTCTGGCTCGGTTCGGTTGCAAGAACGTTGAAAGTTTTGTATGACCAGAGCATGAGGCGACATTGCTGCCAGGATGTTCCAGGATGTGCGAGGATGTGCGAGAATGTTCGTAGCCCTGGGTCACGGATCCTTATTTGCTTTGTTGTTGTTTCTGTCACGTTTTTATGGGCAGTTGCAGTGGCATGTTTCGCATGGCGTGTGCAACATAAATTCACTTACCTGTCGCACACACATGCGCACACATACACACACAGCTAAAAGGCACGGGACTCGTGTGGCAGCCCCGTAACCGTTGCCTGGTTTATGGAAATTAAGCAGGTTTTATATCCTCGCAAACGGGTTGAATGCCACAGCGATCACAAATGCAGCATTTTTTGTTTGTAGGATACTCGGAAAACGTTTTGAGTAAGGAATACAAATTGAAGTTTATGTGCCAACAGGATATACAGCAACAAAGAATATACATAAGTGGAGTTTTCAGTTAAAATGTTTTTGGAATTGAATGATCTATCTATTATCAACACATTTCTAGACGTTAAATTATACCTTTTATACGAAATTCGAATACTTTCTGTATCAGCAGCTTGAACCAGCTGAAAATAAAGCCCCCATTCAAGTGCAATTCCTAGCTCTCCTTGCATCCTTCAGCTGATGGCTCCTTGAGTGTATGTAGCACTTCGGAGTTTCCGGAGCACAGGATGTCCCATTTCGTCCGCTGTTGTTTTTGCGCCATTGCGCCGAGCACCAAGGCCATCGGCCCAGCATCTAGCCCAATATTTGGCCACAGCAAACATGTATTGCTCCAGCTTCAGCGTTCTGGAGTGCAAGCTGTGGAAATCGCCATACAAATGTGCGGAACAATAAGGACAACAATGGCAGGAACAGGACCCAAAGAACAGAAACCGAAACAGAAACAACAAGGGGCGACAATTGCAACGTGTCGAAACGGCGTTCATAGCATATTAGTTAAGCACACACACGAATGCATATCGGCATCCTGGGCACACGGGCCGTATGCGCAACGTTTTTCCACTCACAGATGCGTTGAGCCATATGCCAACATCCGGATTTCGCACGCACACTTATACAATATGGCAAAAATAGGAAAATTTTTGATGGAAGCAAAAGAGCACGGCAAAAAAAACGGCACAAGAATTTATCATCAAAGGAGATTTTGTATTTTGGTATTTTGTAGAATACCAACTTGACATAAATAAAAATCTCAAATTCACCGAATTTAACATTAATGTACTCAAAAATTCTATCTAAAGTACTGCTTTTTGTGTTCCTGTAGCTTGAATTTTAAATTGTAATTTGGCTAAATAATGTATTGACATTGTGTTGAAAGTGTTTTTCTCAGTGCACCGACTTAAAACGAAGGCCCCGGCAAATGGAGCGTTTTACCCTGCCAACCATAATTGCGATGTTTCGACGGAGGCTTTCCCAAGTTGAGTGAGTAGTGGGAAATGGAAACTGCAATCGATGTAGTGGTCCAATTACCGAGGAAACTCAAGTTCAGCTCGCCAGCTATTGTGACCAATTATTGAGCATTGCGACCCATGAAATGGAGACGCTTCGAGCTTCGAGCGCATCAGAGTTCCCCTTAACTGCTAAGTCATCTTAGATTGCTTGGGGCCATCGGTTAGTTGCCAAACAATCGGCATTATCGAACAATGAATGAGCCAATTGCGACACTTGAAACTTGCAATAGCCTTAGATATTTCAGGGAATTGCAGTTCTTGATTGACTAACTGACTCAAAGAGGCTCGAATAAATTTTCCAGCATGAGTATCCATCCTCAGTTGCAGTGCTGTTTTGTTAAACAACTCAAAGTTACAAAACGATTTGTGCAGTGAGAACACAATCGGATTTGAAATTTATGACATTGTTTTAGGGACTTTTTAGGTGACCACAACATTTGTTACACTTTCCATGCTCAAAGTGCTGACAAAGTGGAATAGTATTTTATTAAAACAATCCGATCACTTATGTAAGTCTGTGCATGTTTCTAGAAAAGCATTTCCTGCTTTAAGTTGGCAAAACTTATTTGTATTTCGAAGGATTCCGTGAAGCGTTGCAATCACAGATGCAGTTTATTGCAGTATTTGATTTGTCAATTTAGTTACTTATAGAGACTTTAAGATTTTATTCTTATTTGGGCATTAATACCTCGCTGGTTGTAGTCATTTAATATCATTGGTTTCTTTTGACTGGGTATCGGGAAATCGGGCAAAGAAGTTGAAGGATTCAAAACTAATTAGAGACAAGCCAATGCAGCCATCAAGCTAATGCAATCAGAGTAGAGTGAAGAGTGAATGGGGCTGTTTTGTGTACATGATGATGACGGTGGGTGGGTGGCCAGTGTAAATACACTTCGATTAACGCTAAATTAGCTCGCGCTGAACTGAACCGATTGAACAAAAGCCGGAATTGTCAGTGGCCAATGGTGGGATGGCCGGAAAGGCCAGGATAGCTGGACAAGGATGAAAAGGATAGCTGGGATGGCAGGATGATGACGCCGATGATGATGGGAGAGAGAGTGCGAGCGATGACGACAGCAACCAGGCTGGTGGCTAATGGGTGGCTTAACCGGGTGGAGCCACGACACCCACCAGCCCACTCATCTTTCTTCGGGCTCTTTGTGCATTGTCAGCCCCATTGGCCATGGGATGGCATGGCGTCGAATGCATTTGGCTATGATTCACAATACAAAAGATGCAGCGGCGGCAGCAGGGGGTTAAGTAAAACTTGTGGGTAGCGGATAAATAGATGTATAAGCGGGTTCTATCTATACAGAGTGCCCCTCCATCATACCCCACTCGATTCTGTGTGTCTGGCAATTTGCTTGGCGCTCTGCTCTGCTCGCCGCCCCTCTGAAAGCTGACAAAACAAGTCCCTGACCCCAAAATGTAGGCAACAAAAAGCGTTGGCTGCTTTGTCAGCTTCCCTTATAAGCCCAAACCCCCCTGTTTATACCTCAAACACCCCCGGGCTATGCTAATAACCAATATTTTAGAGCCAAGCCGACGTCTGCCGTCGAAATTGTCGCCAGGCCAGCAGCAACAAAAGCAACGGGCGAAAAAAACAAACTTTTCACAGATAGCTGAGCTGAGCTGAGCTGAATCATGCCGCAGACAAAGGATATGTGGGGATGATGCGATGGCAGCTGGGAAAGGAAGTCGAGGATGGGCCAGACGAGTAGTACAGGGCATTAATTTAACAGGATAATTGAAAATGAATAGTTGCATGTGGCAAGATGTGTGAGGGGCAGGAACGTACAACATCCGGACATGCGACAAATCAATGCGGAACCAGGAAGGGACCGTAGATAATAATTTAGAGGGAATTTCCCTTGAGCCAATCGGGGATTTCCCACACTAGCGACTACTGCACCGACCAACTGAGGCTTTAAAGGACTTATTAATATTCCAGCATTGCAAATTATTCATGGCTAATTATGCAAAGTCAATAAAAACTACAGTCTTTAACCTGCGAAGTAAACGAGTTTCGCATTGAATCGCATATTAACAATTGAAAAATGCTTGTAGGTATGATGTTATGATATTATTATATTACCTTCATATCTATAAAAATAATTGAGTGTGTATTATTTGGAACATAAAATAAATAGCTCAATTGTAATAAGCCATTGCTTTGTTAAGTATTCGCTCCATGCAACCACCAGAATAACAAGTTACCTTAAGCTTTAGGCTAATAATTAAATTTAAATGTTGAATGTGTACAAACTGCACTGCAGCCAAACTGATAGTAATAATCTCTCCATTTAACGGATTTCCTATCACAAATAAACACTGAAATATTGACTTTTCATAGCTTACCTTTAGCCACAAGCTCATATGCTTGGTGGTCAATGCGAATTTTGCCTGGGTCTGCGATTTCGATTTCGATTCGATTCGATTATTTGGTTTTGATTTTGGTTTTTTGGTTTGTGTGATTCGTGTGTGGATTATTTAGTTTAAAGAGAATTTAACGTTAAGAATTGGTGATTAGACACACTTTAGGTTTGAATGAATACATATATGTATATATATATATATATTTAGATTGGATTAAGGTTTGATTTAATTTCTTGTTTGTTTCTTTGTCTGGTAGCTGCTGTTTTGTTTTCTGTTCAGTTTTGGCTTCTGGCCTTCCAATTGCAAATTCCAACTCTGGTTTAGTTGGCCAGTTGGGAATTCGAGTACAACAAAATTTAACTTGGCAAACACAACGAAGGAACGATGGAACGAACGCATCAAACGAACTTGGGAACTACGAGAAACGAACGAGGAACGATAAACGAAACGGAATGGAACGGATATTATGCAATTTTACGGGGCTAACGTACAACAGTAATTTGTGTAATTTTGATCCACCGATCGACCCAATCATCATGTGTGTATGTGTGTGTTTGGCATTCTCAAATTATAAACCAATAATCTGTAGTTATTTGATGATTTCTCGAGCATGCATGTTGATTAAGAAGCAGGCAAAGGTCGAACATCTAATAGAAACTCAGGGATTTGATAGAATTGGGGGTCTTATTTACAATCGGGACTCCAGCCAATCAGTGGAAGTTTTAACGAGTGCCAACGCACAGGAACCATCTTGAGAACTTCACTTTTTCAGATGCTATTCTCAGTCGGTCTTCCCAATTTTCAAGGACTCGAGTGGGAAAGTTTGTTTTCTTAGGCAGGAGAAGTTAACAGGGTGGGTAAAAGTTCGATTCAAGGCATGTTAACTAGACAGAACACGAAAGACAGACAGAGATGGAGAGACAGACAGAGGCAGAGATATAGATAGAGATAGATAGAGAAAGAAAGAGGCAGACCGATATAAAGAATAGTTATAGTTCTCATTTGGTAGTACAAAACAAAAAAGGAATGGGATTTATTTTTAGTTGTTGTCAAGAGTCTAGATCATAAGTGGTAAACATGGCAAAACAAATCGGGTAACGGTTCTATGGTTGCTTAGTTAGTTATTAAGTTATTTACTTTTTAAACAGAGAATGGGCGCTACGTCTTTGATTTTTATCGAGAAAATAGATAGAGCTACGCTAGAGGTTCTAGGGGGATGCTAAATGCACATATTACGGGAACGAACACATCTAGTAATGCATTTTTTTTTTTTTTTTTTTTTGGTGGAGCTCACATTTTTCAACATTTGACGACATTTTGGACAAGTGGACTCGGAATCTGGACTCTGCCTTTCTTTCTTTCTTTTACATTTAACTCTTTTTCTTGTTATTTGATTGCGAAGTGATTCAGATCGAGGCTGGTAGTTGGTGGTTGTGGTTCTTGGTTCTTGGTGGTGGTGGTACTAGTGGTTGTGGTGGAAGTAGTAGTTCTAGTGGTGGTGGGCGGTGGCATTAGCTTTAAACTAGCGGGCGAGCGGTGAGGCGGTGAGCGTGAGGCGGTGGTGGGTGCAACGTTTATTTTATTTCTTTGGGTTTTGTTTTTTCCTTAGCGTTTTGCGGTTCGCAGTTCACTTATTGTCTTGTACTTGTATTGATTTGCCTTCTAATTGGGCAGTACAAAAACCAAAATTATCGCAAACTGATTTGCCATGCCCCTTGGTCGTTCTTATTTTATACTTATTTTTGATTTTTTGTTTTTTTTTCGTTTTGCAGACAACGCACAACTTAAGGGCAAACTAAACAAACTGTAAGCGAGTGCCAATGACACTGAAGGTTGGAATGAGAACAGATGAGGGGGTGCTGGTGGGGGTGGTGTCTCGGTGGTTTGTTGTATGGCTGCGATGACGTCGACGAATACGGCAAGTGGTTGGAAATGAAGTTTTGAAGGCAACGTGGCGCAGCAGTTGGGTGAAGGGGGAGGGTGTGGTGATTGAGGGGGAGCGGCTGGGCAGGAAAAAAAAACAACCCTCCGCTTGACAGGCGCTGCTGACTCAGAGCGAGAGAGCAATATCACTTGTCAGGCGAAACAGCAAACAAAAAAACGAGAAACTACACGAGAAATTAACCAAAAGAAGACAAAATAAACACACACACACACACACACGTTGACAGAGCGACAAGCACACAGGACGGCAAATCGGTTAACGGCTAAACGGTAAGCGGTTCAAAGGGACAACTCAAAACCGAAAGCGAAGATCGCGTAGAGTTGCAATCGGGGAATCAAACAATTGAACAGCTGTAAGCACGTCGCTTCGCATCACATGCAAATGGCCAGTAGTTGAGTGCAATAATACATATTGAGCGTGTGCTGGTGTTATTTCTTATTTCGCTTCCTCCTGCTGTTTGCACGCTCATCAAAACACACACACACACATCTACGCGCACGCACGCTCGCACACGCACACTGGGCGAACAAACACTGAAAAAAAATAGTATGTGACTGGGAGAGTGGGGAATCGGTATCCCATGCGTACGCTTTGCGAATTCGTGACTCGTCGGCAGCACGTTCAAAGAAGGACTAAAACTAAACCAAGCCAAACAGGACAAGCAACGGGGCGCTGTGAATGAGTGTTACGGAGAGAGAGGGGGACACAAAAGAGAGCGCGGCAGTCCCGTTACGTGCTGTTAACGCAACAGCGGGATTAAACAGCGGCTATGTTAAGGTTAACCCTTAACATGCACTTCATCCGGGACATCTGCAATATTTAATAGTTTTGATTTAGCTAAACTGCTGTTAGTCCAAAACAAAAGGAAAATTGGAAACTTTAATAACATTTATTTTATTCCTTAGAAACAAAATTACTTTCATTGAAAAAGTAACAATCATTTAAAACAACAATTACCCACAAATAATTAACAAGATTTAAGAATTACAAATTTAACGACTTATTGACAAATCTAAATCTTAGTTTGTAAACGAACACATTTTATGTAATAAAATAAAATTCGAATTACACATGGGTTAATAATACGACAAGGGTCTTGTGTTAAGCTGCCAAAGTTAACAGGATTTATGTATGTTAACCTAACTGACTCTCATAGTCAACAGAGAAAACACGATACGGAGTGAGAGAGTCAAAGAGAGCGAGAGTGGCGCATGTGAGGAACGCGACAAGTGGCGGTCAATTTGAATGGGCATTCCAATTGAGCCTGGCAATGTCAATTCAAAGCAGGCAGCAAATAAACTCTCCACAATTAATCAAAAAATCAAGATTTAAAATGTCAGCTACTATTTTCATGCAATACATTCAAAGATGTTGACCGAAACCTATGCAATTTTCTCTTCGGCCTGACAGCTTGCTGGAAAACATGTGACTAACGCAGAAGTTTGTATTTCAGACTGGCAATGTTGTGCGGAGCGCAGACTTTTGTCTGCAATATTTTGACATTTCGAAGGGCAAATGAACGCTTGTGAGGAGACGAGGGTGAAGGGAAAAGTCAAAATAATAAAAATTTGTAAATTGTGAGGGCTCTTTCCAAACTCTCTCACTCTCTTCGTCTCTTGCTTGGAAAATGTACGATTGCCAAAGACATGTTGCTACTACAATCGACACACACGATATATTTGTGCACGTGTGTGTGCGTGCGCTAAACTCTGGAGCATACTTAAGTGCGTTCGCACTCGATTAATTAGCAAATTGAAGCCATCCGACTTTGGGCAGTTGGTCAAAGGCAATCGGCTCGGAAATCAGCGCAACCAGCCACTGTCAACTGTCAATAAGATGAGCACTTTACATAATAAGTACTCTCTCAGTCACACACTCGCACAACAACCCACATAGGCAACATACAAAGGCACACACACACAATGGGTACACGCACGAACACATTGGCAAATCAGGCGAACACGCGCGCGTTTATGGGCCGCAGAATTTTTGGGGGAAATTCAATTTGTCTCCAATTATCGAAGAAAAATTCGGTAGAATATATGAAAATTAAATCGTTTACATTTACCGCAAACGCGCGTAATTTCCACGATTTTTACACAAATTCGTTAAGGTTTCAAATAATATTGTTTATTATCGTATATCTGTATAATTGGCGTTTTTGGCGTGTTTTGTGTGCGCACCGTATTAGTTTAACGAAGTGCTCCAAAGGCTGAGAACACACTGAAACTCAAACGGCCGAGGAACTTGCTCAGAAGTCATGGCTTTGACATTTGCAAACGTGTTAACCTCGCAGGCGAGAGAATAACAGTACAGAAGAGAGAGGGTGAGAGAGCAAGGCACGAGTAAGGCACCCTTGCGCACGCGAAATCATCGCAATCGCAATCCACCCCCAAATTACCGCTCAGCTGATTGCAGGGGTGCACATAGTCTTCCTTTGGGGCAGACAGGTGGCGCTATGAAAGCTTTTACGATTTCCATGGCAAAGCTTTAAATTAAACAAAAATTGTTTATCTTTAAGCTTCATTAACTATTCATCATACGGTACATTTAAAATATATTTTGTATTTCAGCTTCTTTGATAATTGGTTATGATTAACACAACTTGATCATAAATTGTTCAGGGCAACTGAGGTAAAACTAAATAATGCCTGAAACGAAACAAGATCAGAACTTACACTAGATACCCTAAAATTAAGGCATGTAAACTCACCCTGCAACTTGGCCAACTGCTCAGTGGTCATAACGAGGGGCTCGGGGCTGCTGGGAGCTATTAAATTCGGATCGGCGATGGGGCCCATGTAGTACTTGCGCATCTTCAGATACTGCATCCAGATATTCAGTCCCTCCTCGTTGACTTCTATGGGGCAGATATCCTTGCCACCGGCACTGCGAACGTTAAAGTCTACAAATGAATCGTTGATGAACACTTGGCGAGTGAGGTGAAAGTAGCTGTTGGTGATGTAGATATTCGGCTGGGCGGACTGTTGCTTCTGAAATAAGATTTGGTTAACAAATTTGGTAAGCTAAACGACTTTGGTGGACATTTTTTTTGTCATCAAAATTCTACCACTGTTGCTATTAAGGAGAAGATCTGGATGTCAATACAGACCTGGTCCTGTAGCACAGTGCGCATAAAGTTCTCGGTGATCAAGTGGATATTGCAATCGCGCAAATCCTTTATCATTTGCTCCAGGTGGAGGTTCTTCTTGGTGAGCATCCTCACCTCTTCAAACAGCTGCCGCTTGTCGTCCTCGTGCTGCTGAAGTGTGTTCTCCCATTCGCGGTTCATGGAGCAGATGTCGTAGTAGTTCTTTCGATTACATAAACGTTGGTTGAAATACCATTCCGAAAACTGTGTCAGCTTCGACAAGGCCAAGATGCAGACAATGGTCCACAGCAAGTCTATGTACTGTTCGAAGGAGCGGCCTTCACTGGCAGTATCCTCGCCGCATCCACTCATTGATGTCGACCCAGTACACGCCACTCCCACTTCGGTTATATTCAATGAAGTGTTCATTTTTCGAATGAAGTGTTGTAAAACAGCGAGTTTGTGCAAGGGTTTGTGGCTTTGATGATTGAATCACTATTGAAAATTTAACGAGTCGTAGTCAGCGAAGAACACTGATCTCACAGACTGCTTGGATTGAGCTTCATCGCCAGAGCTGTAGGCAATCTGGGTGAAAGCAACTAATCAACGGATATCTTGATCATTACGCAGCGATTCAGTGGTTTCAGTCTCGACAGTTGAAATAAATAAATATAATACTATTTCATTGAAAAGAATATCCGTTTCCTAAGTGTATTGTGAGAGAGCAATCGTCATGCGTTCAATGCGATCAAGTGTGTCGAATTCGGGCCATTAAGGCGATCTATCTGCATCAGCCCGTCAATGATGATTAAGGTGCCCTGGTACTTGATTGTTTTGCACCCATGCCTGATGGGAGCAACTGGCGCAACTGGCGCAACTGGCGCAACTGGCGCCACTGAAGCAGCTGCTCCTAGCCTTCGCCCTCTGCACTACAATCTCAGTCTGCTGACCGAGGTGGACCCGGTGAAGCTGAGTGGAACCTTCAACGGCGAGGTCACCATCCGGCTGCGCGTTTGGCGCGATACTCGCACCATTGTCCTCAGTAATAATGGCCTGCGAGTGAGTTCAAACGTGCGGCTATTCCGGAGCAACACCGGTGGCCGGGTGACGGTGCGCAAAGTGTGGCACGTTCAACGGCTTCACCAATTTGCCATCGTCTTCAATAGCATGCTTTGGCTGGGCGAGGAGTACATCCTGGTGCTCCAGTTCAGTGGCCAGATGTCACGAGCCAGTGGCTACTTTGTGGCCCGCTACTTGGATTCCAAACAACATCCGCAGTGGGTAGCGGTCACGCAGCTGGCTCCCAATCTGGCCAACACCCTCTTTCCCTGTTTCGAGAATCGCACCTTCCTCGCTCCCATCATTCTTAATTTGGCGCATCCTAGGGGCACCAATGCCGTGAGCAACATGCGCGTGCGCAAGACCTTCGAGTTTGTATATACATTCTTGTGCTATATGGGCATTACTTCATTCCTTTCATTCCTTTGGCAGACATGAAAGTGATGACTACATATGGACTACCTTCCACCAGACCCCAGCGATGTCTCTACAGAGATTGGCCTTCGCCATCAGCAGGTTCACGAATGGAACGTCCGTCGAAATCCCAAAAGGTCCCGCGCTGACCACCTGGCTGCGACCCAAGATCGCCAATCAGGGCGAGTACGCCATACGCATTACATTGCAGATAATGACCTACTTTGTTACCCTTTTCGAAATGCCGTTCCCTGAGCCGAAGATTGACCAACTGGTTCTGCCCGACACGGCTTATCAGGTAAGCGTAGAGTATTGAAGAGCATTGCATGTTGAATAACCTAGAACGTTCCAAGAGTCACGAGCATTTGGGATTCGTGAGCTACCCGGAGGCAGCATTCCTCTACAGCGAGCAGCGCTGGACGACTGGGGCCAAGCAGCAGGTGGCCAGTCACGTTGCCCGCGAAATCGCACACCACTGGCTCTCCGATCTGGAGAATCCCGCCCTCTACTGGCTGCACTATGGCCTATCCGAGTATGTGGCCGGCTTTGCCGTGGATACTGTGGAGCCCGCCTGGCGGCTTCATGAGCTTTCCATGCTTCGACAGGCATTTGCCGTTCTAGACGAGGACTCCAGGAACAGTGCTCAAGCCGTGAGTCTGGCCCACGCCCACGCCTCCTCGGATACCCAGGCGTACCACAAGTTAGCCCTTCTATTCCGCATGCTGCACTCAGTCATTGGCTCCCAGGTTTCTTTATTTCATAATTTGTGTCTTAGATAGATACCTTCATACAGCATAGATATGTTCCATTAACATCCAGGTCCTTGTCAACGCTTTGCGCCTGTACCTGCACTCGCCCAAGGGATCCTCCCCCAATCAGGCGTTCCTGTGGCACATATTGCAAGAGGAGTCCGACCGCCAGATGAGCTTGCGTCAGGACATTAGAGTAAGCCAGCTGATGGACTCGTGGACAATGCAACCGGGTTATCCGCTCATCCGAGTGGTGCGCAACTATGAAACCAACCAGGTGACCGTGACCCAAGAGCGTTATCTGCGCAATCCTGGCAAGCGGATGAAGAAACGCCACCAATGTTGGTGGGTGCCACTGACCTTCGCCTCAGCGGTTCGCCATAGCTTTGTATCGACGCTGCCCAGCGAATGGCTGACCTGCCGGGCCAGAAAGACCGCCAGTCCGCTTATCCTTAACGAGGTGGCCCTACCGTTCGAGTGGGTGG